TTCAAATTATATAGTCAATCTGATTTCGGTGTTGCCCATCTGGTGATGTCCATGTGTAGAGTCGCCTCTTAGGTTGTTGGAAAAGGGTGTTCGCTATGACCAGTGTGTTCTCTTGACAAAACTCTGTTAACCTTTGCCCTGCTTCATTTTGCTTTCCAAGGCCAAACTTGTCTGTTATTCCGGTTACCTTTTGACTTCCTACTGTAGCATTCCAGTCCCCTATGATGATGAGGACATCATTTTTTGGTGTTAGTTCTAGGAGGTGTTGTAGGTCTTCATAGAACCGGTCCACTTCAGCCTCTTCTGCATCAGTGGTTGGGGCATAGACTTGGATTACTGTGATGTTGAATGGTTTGCCTTGGAATCGGACCGAAATCAATCTGTCATTTTTGAGATTGTATCCCAGTACTGACTTTTGCACTCTCTTGTTGACTATAAAGGCCACACCATTTTTTCTACGAGATTCCTGGCCACAGTAGTAGATATAATGGTCTTCTGAGTTAAATTTGCCCATTCCTGTCCACTTAAGTTAACTGATTCCTAAGATATCAAGCAACCCTACATCTCAATTATAAGAAAATATTCTGCAAGTAAGTTTTCTTTTCTTCTCTGGTTCAAACTGTCTGCTGAAATAGAATGGAGGATTTAACCAGACTGTTAAAAAGTTCAGAAAGAGAAAGGGGGGGGCTGATACGCAGTCATCCCTCCTCCTCCAGAAGTGGCTCTCAAACAAAAGGAAACAGCATTCAAAAGGGAATATAATTATTTGAAGATTTTTGATTGTGCTACCCCCTACTGATTTAAATGGGTTGTAAATTGAAAAGTGAAACTGATATTTTAAATACGTTTATAAGCAGACTGTGATTTTATAACGAATCAAGAATTTATTTTGGAATGTATTTGGACTATATTGAAATTAAATTTGAGTCAGAGAAGGACTATTGCTGGAAGAAGCTATAAAGAATACATGGAAACATTTGGATTCTCTAACTTAACCTAAATAAACTCAGTTGGTTTAATTATTTGACTGAATTGCTCCGTGGGAACAATGATTACTCTTCAAGCGATAACAGAAACATTAAAAGACACTTTTAACACAGCTATACTCCCAGTACAACGTAATTTGTGTCTTTTAGTGGATTGTGTCCAGGAGCTTTCTTGTAAATTTGATCAAGTTGAAAGTGTACTGAAACAATCCCCAAATGAAGCACAAGTTCTGAGTGATGAGTCGAGACTGGAAGATATGGAAATACCAGAGATTAATTTCTTTACAGTGAAAATGGTGGACATAGCTGTATGCTTGTCTAAAATGAAAGAACCACAAGATACCAAGATGGAGAAGCGGAAGATGACCTCAACCACGATCACCACCACAACCACGATCAACAAATCCTTCTTGGATATAACAAGCAAACAAAGAAAAAGTTCTACTCCCATACTGAAATATTACAAGAACAACTTGCAACTGCAGAAGATAAAATGTTGGGAATTCAAGAAGGAAAGGAAAAAGGGGGGGGAGAAATAACGAAGACAGAATTGGGGCAGCAGGGCAAGTGACATTCAAAATGGAATTTAATGAGATTTAAGGATACAAAACAAGAGAAAATGAGATTAAAAATTAAATGTTAAAAGATATAAATGTTACAAGGTAATTTTATTTGATATTTTAGAAAAGCTTAAAACTTTTCCCCTCATTGCCAAAATTAACTGCTGGTCTTCTGTTCCACTTCATCAGTTCTTGTTTATAAGGCTGGGGTAATTTTTAATTGTTGCTATATATTATTAATGTTTTATTTTTCTAGACATATCAGAGGGAGGGCAGGAGTAGCTGCAGGGCTGCAGTTTTCGGTGGCAGCCATGTGTTCCTGTAATAACTAATTAAGGAGCTGGCCAAAGAAATGTAGCTGCTAGTTGCAATTTGAAAAATTCATTTCCTTTACATAATTCACTTATCCAATAAATGCTTGAGATGTGGTTTGTCTGGAATATAACCTGTATAATGGAACAACTGGCTCTGCTCACAATACTTGTTTTAATGAGCCACCTGTGGCTCATGGGAAATACTATAGCATCATCCAGTCTAGAGAGGATGTTCCACAGTGATCATTATATCCCTGAGCAGTCTTAAAACCCATCATTTTAGCCCAGCATGTGAAACAGACTGACGAGGCTCTAGGTAGGTGCACTTGGTATTTATAGCA